ACACTACCATTTACTCCTGTCTAAATAGCAAATCCGACAGAGCTGACAAAGTTAACCTGGTCGCTGCTCTTGAAAAGGACTTACAATCAGTGGTTAACTGGGACAGGAAATGGCTTGTAAATTTTAATGCCTCCAAATCGAAACTTCTCTCATTTAACCATCATAGAGAAACTTTCCTGCCCACCCATCCATGGCTGATGCTGACTCCTGGAGAGCATCACTACTGCCTTCTTGGCCTCACATTTTTCAACTGACTTGAAGTGGAACAACTACATTGAATCAATAGCTGCATCTACTGCAAGAAATTTGGTTCATTGTGTCGTGGCAGAAGATTTTTCTCGTCAGAGTCCATCTTGCACATTTACAAATCTACCATTCGTCCGTGCATTGAATACTGTTGCCATATCTGGTCTGGTGCTCCTGCTATTCATCTCAAGGTTCTTGACAAAATCCAAAGAAGGATCTGCAATGTAATCGATCCTGACTTGGCATCTCGACTTCAGTCACTTTCTCACAGACGTGATGTGGCTTCCCTCTGTCTTTTCTACAAATATTTTCATGGCAACTGCTCTGACGAGCTTTTTTTTCCTGGTGCCCAGACTACATGAATTTAAGCGTGCTACTAGATTGGCATCTAGGTCCCACCCTTTTACTGTTGAAATAATTAAATGTAACTGCCACTTCTACTCCAACAACAGTTTTTTCTCGCACTTCCTGCCTGTGGAACTCCCCTTCCGTTTACTTGCTTCCCTGATAACTACAATCTTCAAAAAATTTAAATGCAACGTCAATCGCCATCTTCTGTCTTTTTGAATTTTTTTTTTTTTATCCTTTCCTTTTATATAGCAGTCTTTTTCTCTCACTTTCACTCTCTGTAGCCCCCCGAGTGGAATAACTCTTGGCATTCCCCTTTGCTTTGGGGTGAAATGATTAAAAAAAAAAAAAAAAAAAAAATAAAAAAACAAAAACAAAATATAAATATTACAAACATACAGACAACACACACACACACACACACACACACACACACACACACAATTATATATATATATATATATATATATATATATATATATATATATATGTTGAAGAGAAAGAAGAAATGGAGTAAAATCCACAGTTCATGGCATTTTTTTTTAAAATTTTTGTTCATTAAATTTATAAAAATAATAATATTTATAAATATATATATATATATATATATATATATATATATATATATATAAATATTCATACACGTTTCATTAAATAATAATAGACAAATTTTGTCTATTTTTTTTTATGTAAATTTATTATGTAACGTCTGATAAGTTTAATAACATTATCGTTGAACGAAAAAAAACAATATTGATCCATATTTTTTTTTAAAACAAACTATTTATTTGGCTTAAAAGCCATTATCAAAGATTTTAATTACAACATATTAATTTTTAATATACGGACAAGACAGTGATGATAGTCTCTCATTGTTTACATAGATGATTACATAAGCATCGATAAAAACGTTCATATAAGAAAAGATTTGAAAATTTTTTTCGCATCTCATGACGTTCACATGACCAGATTTGAATGAATTGGAGAAGTATGAAATCCAAAAAATGGTTAAACAAAAATAAATCTGTTAGAAAAATCAAAATCAATTATGGAATCTCTACAAATATGAAAATTTAAATGTCTATAATGTTCAACAAAATTATTGGTTATATTTAATATATATATAAAATATATATATATATATGGTCAAACAATGTGTGTGTGTGTGTTTGTGTGTGTGTGTGTTAAATTAAAATTTTGAAAAATAATACAGAAAAATGAACAATTTTTTTTTATAAATCAATGTAAAAATGTTTTGAAAAAATTTTAACGTTTTAATACCAAAAGAAAAAGTATTTTTAAACAGTTTCTCAACTTTTACATGAATTCAATAATATATATATATATATATATCAAACATCAATATAAAAATAATTTCAAAAAAAAAAATTAAAAATGTTCAATTTTATTGAAAAATTTTTACTATTTTGAGGCAGAAAAAAAAAGTTATGGTTTTTTTTCTTTAAGGGGAAAAATGTTGAAGTTTGAAAAAAGAAATAACCACATTTCCTTCAAAAAAAATGTCCTATTTCATTATTCGAAAATGAATTTTAAAATATATATATATATATATATATATATATATATATATATATATATACCAATTTATGATTTTGAACGTAACATTTTTTAAATTTTTTAATATATTCACAAAAAATTATAATGATCTTTTTTATTTTTTATTTATTTATTAAACAATATATTTATGTACATCTAAAATATAACTGAATATTGAGAAAAAAATGTTAGAAAAATATAACGTTCCGAAAATAATTCGAACCTGCGTCTAATGGATGGGGAAAAATTTAAAAAAAACGTGCCCAAAGACAAACTTGGCCATGTGTAGATTTAAATTCAAATTCAAACAAATAATCGAATAGTTTTGTATTTGAACACATTTTCCGGATTCTTGAAATATACATATCTTTGTTCTGTTTTGTATCCTATTTATGCAAAATTTTAAACAAATAAATATATATAAATATATATATATATATATATATATATATATATATATATTTATATATATATTTTTTGAATTTTTCAGTTCAATGAAAGGAAATTTAAAACCATATGATTTTAATTATTTTGTTAGAAACACATTTCAAATTTTTTAAATTCATTGAAACAAAGATTTAAGACAAACAAAAAAAATAAATAGATGTTGTCTATAGCTGACTCAGATAAGTAACTGATTAGCACAGCCAGCCTGCATTGTTGAAAAGACCTTTACTTGTCAACACTTGTTACAAGCCCTTCGAACAAAGAATATTAACAACCCAAATAGTGACTTTTTAAGTATCACCCTACCCTAAGCTCCTTTTTCAAATTTCCTACTGTACAACAGGCGAACATGTGTATGCGAACCACCTGTTTCGACAGATATATTTTTAAAGAAATGCAACTTTTATAAAAGACGGTGTGTTTTCATGGACAGCGGGTGGGCTTCTAAATGCTTTTTGCAAAGATTTGTGCGTTGTTGAGCGTGGAGACGAAGTCCTGTTCTGTAGGAATAATTGCCTGGTTTTAGATTTTGTTTGATTCTATTTCATATGTTGACTTATAACTCTTGCTTTTCATCCCTTCTTCAATTTTTTTTTTTATTTTTTTAAAGAAAATTTCTTTGTAACCATTCTCTCTTTCTCTCTCTTCTTTGCTTTTTTTTATAGTCTTCCTTTTCTCATTGTTTTCATTTTTCTCTCCTGGTTTAAAAAAACTTTTTTTAAGTTTTCCTCCTCCTCCTTTTAATTTCAAATATTTTTCTTTTTCTTTTCTTAATTTCTTGTTGTTGTTGTTGTAAATTCTTCTTCTTCTTCTTCTTCTTCTTCTTCTTCTTCTTCTTCGAAAACGTTTCTTCTTCTTCTTCTTCTTTTCTTCTTCTTCTTCTTCTTTTCTTAAATATTCTTCTTCTTCTTCTTCTTCCTCTTCTTCTTCTTCTTCTTCGTTCTTTCCGTTTCTTCTTCTTCTTCTTCTTCTTCTTCTTCTTCTTCTTCTTTTGTCTCCTATTTTTTTTGTCGTTTTTCTTACTCGTTAATCCTCCTTTTTTCTCCTTTTTCCATTTTTTCTTTTCTTTTTTCCATCTCTTCTCCTTTAACTTTATCTGTCTGCCATTACTTCGTTTCCTTTCCCCCTATTCTATATCTCCCCTTTCTACGACATCTCCTTTTTCTTGTATTTCCTCTATATTCAACTTTCTTCTTCTTCTCCTTCTTCTTCTTCTTCTTCTTCTTCTTTATTACTACTAAATATCTTCCATTGAATCATATTTTATTCCCCCCACTTCTTCCACTGAATTTTTCTTCTTCTTCTTCTTCTTCTTCTTCTTCTTCTTCTTCTTCTTATTACTACTAAATATCTTCCATTGAATCATATTTTATTCCCCATTCTTCCACTGATTTTTCTTCTTCTTCATCTTCTTCTTCTTCTTCTTCTTTTTTTCTTCTTCTTCTATTACTTTTAAATTCTTCCATTGAATCATTTTTATTTAACTTCTTTTGAATTTTTCTTCTTCTTCTTCTTAAATTCTTCTTCTTCTTCTTCTTCTTCTTCTTCTTCTATTATTTATAAATATTTTGAATCATATTTTATTCCCCCACTTCTTCCACTGAATTTTCTTCTTCTTTTCTTCTTCTTCTTCTTCTTCTTCTTCTTCTTCTTCTTCTTCTTCTTCTACTACTACTACTACTACTACTACTACTCTCCATTGAATCATCTTTTCTTCCCACTTCTTCTGTTGAAACATTCTTCTTCTTTTCTTCTTCGTCTTTCAAGGAATATCGTCCATTGAATCTTCTATGTTAAAAATTTTTAATGTAAAGAAACCTCCTCCTCCTCCTGAATTTCTTCTTCTTCTTCTTCTTCTTCACGTGCTTCTTTTTCTCTTTTTTCTCCTATTTACTTAACTTCCGCTTCTACATTTTCTCTTCTTTTTTCTCCTTTCCCACCTCTTTCTTTCTCTGATCGCTCACTGCTTTCCACTTCCTCCTCCTCCTCCCTTCCTTCTCCTTCCCTCCTTCTTCTTAAAAGCTTCGCCTTCTTTCTTTTACCTTTTTTGATTGTCCTTCCTACTCCTTCCACTTAAATGTTTTAAATATGTTGTTTCTTGTTGTTCTTCTTCATCATTTTTTCGTCTTAATTTTTCTCTTTCTGTCCTTTCTCCTCCTCCTCCTTCACCTACTCCTCCTTCATCTCCTCCGCTTAAAATTCTCCCTATTTTCCTTCTTGTTCTTTGTTTCTCGTTTTCTTTTCTATATCCTGTTCTTCTCTTTTTCATTTTCCCTATCTTCTCTGATTCCCCCCACCCACTCCTTTTCTTTCCTTCTTATCTATTTCATCGCTTTCCCTCTCTTTTTCTTTGTTATTTTCATCTTCTCTCCCTTTTACTCCTTACTTTTTCTCCTCGGGGTTACAACCATATCACGTTGAAACACCGGTCCCCGTACGAACACTGAAGTTAAACAACGTCAAACTTGGTCAGTACCGAGATGGGTGACCGCTTGGGAATCCCAGGTACTTCAGGCTTGTATGTGCGAATGGTGCAATGGGGAATGGCTTGGAAATGGAAGTCAGAGAGCTGAGATCCTGTTCCAGTTTTGTTATAGTCACCTATGCGTAAATACACTTGAGAAAGGTACGAATCTACTACTTCTCCCCTCCCAGCTATCGGTTAATTAGTAGGGATTCTGTCAGTAAATCATTATTATCACTAAAAAATATTACTACCTAAACAAAAAACTTGCAATGGGTTGATAAGCCGTAAAAAACAAATCGACCAATTGTTCTCGTTGTTCTTTCTGTTTTGTTTTATAACACGGCCGGCCCGGCTCGATCCTGGGTTATTCAGTTTTACCGCAAGATGGTTATCAGCTTTCCGCTTCGTTCCTTCACCTGCTTCTATCCCACGTTGTGTTTCTTGATCAAAAAGCAGTGAAGATCGAATTTCGCCCGTACTTGAGCGCTGGATCGGACTGCGGCGAAACCGTCCTACAAAAGGACAAAGAACGCCTCCGCCGCCGAAAATAAAAATAACATAACAAAATAATGAAGAAGGTCGCCGGGTTAATTTCCAAATGGTTTATATAGGTTTTGATACAACAAAATTAACCCATCCCGTTAAACTCTCTATCGTGACACTTTGTCTTTTTCTTCGAAAACTTGGAGCGAGTTCAATCAACAAAGAAAGAGGTCGATCGGGAATTCTCTCGGCAACCGGTCACGTGTTGTTCAGCAGCTCCTTCGTCTGCTGCTGACTCGTCTCGTCTGCATTTCTTGCCGTCTCTCGCTCCAACTGCTGGGTCGCTTAAGCGCTCTTTTTATATGTATTTCGCCCGACTCTCATCGCACCTCAGGACTCATCAATATTCTTCCCCACCTCTTGATTTTTCTCCTCAATTCCCTTGTTTCTTTTTTTTTTTTATTAACCTTTCTTTTTACATTTTCTCCTTCTTCCCATATTTCCTTATATTGCTTTTTTTTTATTATTCTCGTTCCTTTCTCCTTCACTTTTTCTTTTCTTTTTCCCTCGTATCTGTTTTACCTTCTCAGCATCTTAACATTTCTGCATTTTATTCCTTTGCTTGATTTCTCTTGTCTTCTTTCCCACAGCCTCTTCTTCTTCGCTTTCTATTCTTCCCCTTTTCTTGCTTTCTTCCTTCTTCCTCTTCTCTTTTTATCCTCTTTCTATTCTTCTTCTTCTTCTTCTTCTTCTTCTTCTTCTTCACGAATATCGTCCATTGAATCATCTTTTCTTCCTCCCACTTCTTCCGTTGAAATATTCTTCTTCTTCTTCTTCTTCTTCTTCTTCTTCTTTCAAACTTTTCTCTTCTTCATTTTTCCTTTTCCTTTTCTCTCTCTCCAATTTTTCTTTTCCTCCTCTTCACATTTCCCACTCCTCCTCTTCTTCTTCTTCTTTTTCTTCTTCTTCTTTACTACTACTACTAACTTTTTAACCTTTTGCTTCTTCTTCTTTTTCACCCTCTTCTTTTTCTACTTCCTTCCACCACTTCCGTTGAAACATTCTTCTTCTACTTCTTCTTTCAAGCTTTTCTCTTCTTCATTTTTCCTTTTCCTTTTTTCTCTCTCTCTTCTATTTTTCCTCTCCTCCTCTTCACAATTCTCACTCTTCTTCATTTACTTTTTAACCTTCTTCTTCTACTACTTTTTAAACCTCTTTTTCTTCTTCTTCTTCTTCTTCTTCTTCTTCTTCTTCTTCTTCTTCTTGCCTTTAATACTTTCTATTTCATCTTATGTGTCACTATTTTCCGGCCCACTGAGTATAACAAAATTCTGTCGTTTCCCAAAAGTAACAGGAAAAAAAAGGTGTTCCTGTCGAAATGAGGAAATGAAGCAAATTTCTTTTTCTTTTTTTCTTCCCTTATTAATATATTTTTTATTTTATTTGCACTGATTGGCACCTCCCAAGGGGTTTCTTAATTTCTCTTTCACTACATCGCCCTCTGCCGGCTGGATCAGGAACTACGGACGAGAAAAACAAGCAAAAAAAAAAGTCAATATATGCCATTCATCTGCGTCGATAGATGTGGACAGAGAAGTTAACATCGTTATTAGAAGTTAAGACAAGCGGGCGGAATGAATGAAAGGGTTGTATGACGCCATAAAGGGCCCCCTCCTTGCTGGCAAATCGTGGTAAGTATCTCTATATGGTAAACATGTAATATTTAAGTATCCCTCTTGTCCAGGTTGACAATGAGTATAACAGAACTACATTTCTTTTGTACGGTTCACAATCTTCCCTAATCATTTGAATAGGAGTAGCGATTTATCCTTTGTTTCCTGTCATGGGTTGGGTTTCCAGGGTTTTTTTAAAGTCTAATTCAATCGTCTCTGCTAAAACTCTGAAATATTTACTATTTATTTTTTCCTAATTAAGATTAGATAGGTTCGCCCATCGTCAGGTTCACACTCCTCCTCCGTCTTTTGAACAGTATTAGGAATTGTCTCCTGCTTAGGATTGGGTTTTTTCGATTCCTTCTAAAGACTTCTTATTCTCTTTCACTCCCAGCAGCCTCGTGCGTCTTAGTGACATTATCGCTTGCTTGGGATGAATTGATTAAAAAAAATGTTCATCCAATACGCGCCATTCAGTGTAGTTGCAAGAAAGTATGATGGAAAGGTAAGAGATGCAGATTATGAGGATATGAAGGATAGATAACGGTTGATCCTAGACTTGAAGAGGTTTGTAGTTTGTAGTGATCGGGGAAGCATCCACTCGGGAGTCTGTTCCAAAAAGTAGCGATTCCCAGAAAGAAGAATGAAACTTCCTCCTTACTAATGGAATACGAACGGAATTGGGATAATACATCTCAGATTACGTATCATGGCGGGTACTAGATGTGAAAGTCTGAACTGGTAGAACTAAGGAATGTAGCTGGTCAGAACATTTTTTATGGAAGTACTAACAGAAACTTGCGGAGTTTTATCTGTGGAGAAGGGTGTTGCAGATTTGTAAATAAATTATCACCCAAGGCCGCCTGGAAAAGGATCTTCAGCCCAGATATGGCAGCAGTAATCTATTTTTTGGCCTGGTCTGTCTCTTGTAAAAACAGAGAGCATAGCAGGAGGGGGTCAAGTATTTTCTACAATGGTACTAAGAAACGTCCATTTTTTTTTAGGTGGATCGTATATATGAGTTTCATTTGATATCTGAAGCGAAATAGACGTTCAAGGCAAGATGCTTTGAGGGACAACAAAAACATTCCCCATGATAGGCGAAAATTCAGCATCTTCTGGGTGATGCCGTAACGTTACATTTACCGCTACTACCTGGGCAGCTGAGCCACGCATTGGAGAGTGATTTGCTCAAATACTCATTCACTTATTCTTTTCGTCGTCAAATATCGTGACATACCAGTGACGAGACGTCAAGAAAATAGCCTTGACATTATTTTTTTTTACACTAGCAGTATACGGTGTCATACACTGGCAATCAAGAGACAGCAACTTTCGCTTCATACTTCGATGACTGGATGATTTTCACTTTATCTAAGTACTGTTCCAAATGTCTCTGTAATTATAGATTCAACTGGTAGCTTTTAATGGGGATAATGTGACAGCAAGCCTCTTCAAAACACATGTATTCTCCTCAATATTCTTGCTGATTTAGCAAGGCTGCTGTCTGGATAGAAGTGATGCTTCTACGGATTTTAGAAATGGTCCAAGAACTCTGTTAAGTATGGGCAGTACTGTCATCTTTATATTCCAAAAAATGATTCCTTTTTTTTTTCACGAAGCATTTTTAAAACTTATAAACTTAAATATATTATAATTATGTACGTATATACAGGATGTCCCAAAAAATTTAACATTTTAAAAGCAATTATCTTGAAATCTACTAAGTCGAGCTCAATGAAATTGAAGAGTTTAGGTGTTGAACATCATAAGTTTACTGACTGATTTCATAAGTGTTCAATATGTGCACCGCCTGTGACACGGCACATGTCAAGTCGGTAGTTAAGCTCTTGTCAAACACGTTGTAGCATGTCTCCGGTAACATTATCCAGTGCGGAACTGATTCTCTGCTTGAGTTTATCAATGCTAGCAGGAAGTGCGAGGTACATAGACCAGTCCATTCACATATCCCCATAAAATTTTGCATTGAAAGCATGCTGAACAGTCTTGGGTGACTGTGTGCGAGCATATTCCAAGACGCAAAAGGACTTCTCTTTGGGAGTGAACGACATGAAGCAACCTGAAAACAGAGCAAAAATAAAACATTAAATATAACATCTTGATCTGTTTCTATACATTTTGTGAAAATTTGAGGTTCTTTCAACAAGAATTGCCAAAATTATTGACCTGCGAATATATATCAATTTTGGGGGAACACCTTGTATATAAAAAATAGTTTGTAAGGGTTAAGAGCTACTTACGTTTTCAGTTATCCAGGGATAGTATCCCCGCGGATCATGAAAGACTATAAACACTTTTTAAAAGGATATTTTATCCGACATTATTTCTATAAACCTTATTTTTAGTGAGCACAACTTTTTGAGATGTTATCCCTATATTTTATTATGTCAAACAATGTAATTAATAACAACCGGCTTAGATTCAGAAATCTTACTGTGCCTCCGACAGGAATCAAACCTGTATCCTTATGACCTATATGAAGCCGAACAATGTCAATAGACTATGCGGCCAGTTTTTGCCAAAAGAAAAAAGTATGAAGCTGAACAATATAGACCCGTAGACTCAAGTGTAAACTCGGCCAGTTTTTGCTTATAGATTCCTGCATAAAGCAGACCAATGTTTGCGTATAGACTCAACTATAAACCCAGTCAACTTTTAAATTTGGACTCGACTACAAATCCGATCAATGTTTACTTATCGGCAAAAGTATGAAACCGAAAAATCTTGACCTATAGACTTACGTATAAATCCGACTAGTGTTTGCTTATAACATTATTAATCCAAGAAGGGTCGATATACAGGAAAATTCTTTAATCCATTTACACAGGCTCGTTAGGTAAGTTATGTATTGTTTTCTCTGTCACGCTT